AAATTTCTATACATTATATTTCAACACTATCTACTTTGCTTTTGATAGATTCAAAAGGGTGTGAAGATAGTAGAGGAATGGTCTTTACAAATTTAAGCATGGAAATTAATTAGGATTTGGCTCTCAGAAAAAGTATTTCACCATGGTAGCACTGAGAAAAGTGAAAGAGGTGCATTAGGACAAATGTTAAGAGGGCCCAGTGAGCACAAAAAAGGTGTTTTCAGTCGCATCCACCATCCAACTTTTGGCCTCAAGTTTTGTCTCATCCTTGAACCAGATATATTGGTATAAGTTGGATGTTAGTTCTAGTCTTTTCCTCATAGGCTGCTCAAGATTTTCAAAATCCTTTTCTGCACCATGTGGAATGTCTACTCACAAAGACATACGTGTGCAGAAGTATACAAGCTACCGGCAGCGGCAAATACAAAATGTAGAGTCAATTGATTCCAAATGAATGAGATCTTAATATATTTACATTTTAATTTTTTGGAGATTACATCGTTCGAGTCGAAAGTAAGGAATTCAATTGAACTCACGTAACCTGCGAGGCTGTCCTAGATCCTCCTCTAACTACAGGTACTTTCAAGCCCAAATTGTTGTGGATCTGCCTCTGGCCACTTATACTTTCAAGCCGAAATTCATATTACAAAAATGGTTGGTGCAATTACCTATCTTTTCTGCGATAAGGGGCTCTGTTTGTGTTTCGGATAATTTGGACAAAAAATTCTCTTCACAAGTCCTTTGCTTATGCTTCTGATGAGGAGGATTTGTTCATAGAAACCAACCCTTCTTACACTTTATGAAACAACCCTTGTCCTCTGTCAATGCTTACATGTTTGTAAAAGATGCGAGTCTTTAGTTCCTAGTTTAATTTAATCAAATATATCTGAGTTACAATTTTATGTATGCAAGAGGACTAAGCATATTATAAAGTAATATTTTTATAGAGTATATTATTTAAGTTAATTAGTTCATTTTGATGCACGAGGCCTGCTCCTACTCTTTTCTTTGTCAGGTTACAATGAATTTGTGACTTTTTCATGATTAACAAAAGGGATAATGGAATCTGGAAAAGAATGGAAAAGAGATCCAAAAGAGAAGGAACAAAAGCAGCTAAAATGAGTTTCAAAAGCTAATGCCCCAATGGCTCAATCCTCCCATTATTGTTTGTACTTTTAGAGAAAAATTAAATTTGAGACATTCAACCATTATATCATCTTGAATAGTAGTTTCTTAATTGTTTATGTGGGGTTGACATGATTAATCACTGGTGCTTTCCAAAGAAGATGCCCTTCTGGCTTAAAGAAACATACTTTTATATTTCTTAGGCCTCCACACTAAGGCAGTACACATGCACTTCTAAAAGATTGCAAGGGAATGTCAAAGTGTTGGATGCCAGCCTTTTGTCTAATAAAGTAACAAAGAATTTGAAGCTATAGCTATTACATTTTTCTTGTTACCACATCAGACTTCCATTTAAAAGTTACCAGTTGTTTTAGCAGTGCACACAGTATTTAAACGCAATTGTTTTTAAAAAAAGAGTGGCTCTAGCATTTGACTTTCTAGAAAAATGCAATGTACTTCTTACCCATCTTTACTGAAACCTGAAAGAAGATGAGACATAAATTTGTCCAGCATTTGATTTGCCAGGAAAATTGATCAACCCAGTTAGGCAAGAGATTATCATTGATCACTTGATTGCAGCCTAAAATAGAACTTACTGCAGAAGTGATTTTCACTATCTACGAGGTCCATTATGTTTGGTGGTACCAATATTTTTTTTCAGATACTGTATATCTCTAAAGAAAACGATGTCTCTTATTCACACGAGATATTGATGAATATTGATTCTAAACTGTGCAGTTTTTCCTTAATGTTGTGCTGTTTCAATCTCTTTCCTGCTTCCCTTAGATAAATCACATGAGAGTTGGGGGTCAACATCTTAGAATGTGACAATTTTTAGGTGATACATCTTCTGCAAAGCAAAAAGTCTTAAATGGCCTACTCGATGTAGATCAAAATTAGTCGAGCAACCGAATTTTAGAATATGGAACGTATTTTTTTAAAGAAAAAGCCGGATGTTATCAAATGAAGAGAGCCTGTGGACCTGACCTGAAGGATACCCTTTTTTTTTCAATCAACAGTTCAACACACGAGAAGATCTCCTCCCTCCTTCACATACCAACCCCAAAACTAGATTAGAACATTGAAAAACAAAAAACAGAGAAATCCAAGATTGAGAAGAAGTATTCATATTTTGCTATCTTGGAAATGGTACAAGAATCGATTTCCTGCCTAAGTTTTGATTGACAGAACTACAGTGCGTACAAAATTTGATCTTCATCAAACTCTTCCTTGTGAAGGGGAAGAAGGGGAAAATGCCTGTTATTTTGTGTTGATTGAGCTTTTATTTCAGCCCAGTTTTATCTAGTCAATTAATTTTACTGCTTATTGCAGAGATAGTACTCTATCTCAAATGTAATGTGTAGGTAGAACTAGGCAAAATTTACTTGTAGCTAATTAATCGCTGCATCTTTCAGGTGCTAAAAACATAGAATACCTGCTACAGTATATATCATAGTGGAAGAGTGAAATGTTATTGTTGTACAACATGTGCCATAATGACTGATGAATGTGGTCCTATGTTTAGACAGACAACTTTCTTGCATTCCAATTATCTTAACAGGTCCCACTTTCAACTAATCTTCTTGGTTGCTCTTTTACACCTACACCAAACAAAACCTTCAGTCCACAGTTTTCTTTTCTTTGGTTATAAATGTGAGCTTAGCTAAAGCAAAACCTGCATCTCAGTTTCAAAACAAACTACCTCTTTAAATTTTTTCTCTCTCAAATATCTCGTCTTTCAGAATTCTCCCTATATGTGAACTGCTAAAAATATGCAGCTATGAAAAAGGTGAGTGGTGATCAAGATGGAGAAGCAGGGCACGTGCATTACTAACTCATGCACAGGAATTGTCAGTGAAAATTTTTATGGCATTCATCTGACATCATAATTCATAGTACCATTACTGTACTTCCTAGCGTAGTGGAAAATAATGGTTTGGTACTTCACATGTATGTGTTTCCGTTTCCGTTGAGTTAGTTCTTCATGTGCCTGTCTTCCCCATCATGATCACTCAACCTTATTATCAGTATACGTCCCTTTTTCAAGTTCTGATTTCGCCTCATCTAATAATAAAAGTGCTCCGTAAGAGAACTCTATTTCGAAATCAATTCGCATTTTATAGTTGTTTTACTTGAATATATTCGTTAATATGCCTTCTGCTTGTAGACGGATAGATTTGGGTTCATTTCTTGCCGCTCATCTTCCGCGCGCACCATGGCCCAAAAACCGCTTTCCATTGAAAGGTAAGTTAATTTATTGATAGACATTTCCGATTTGAACAAAAAGGTTATTATTAAAGTTATGTTGACATTTGTTATATATATTCTCTTATTGAAATCAAATTTCAATCTTTCAAGCTTATGTTGATACTTTTGTATTTTATATCATATAATAATGTTTGACTGAATATATAGTTTAAGAAACTAAAAAGATTTTCGCCACATATCAAAAATATTCTTAGAATTTGTGCTCTTACACATATCGGGACATTTATGAGTATAAGCGCATATTTTACAGAAGAAATAGAAGTGTAATTTTTGTTTTTTAATATAGAAATCTGTCACCCTTACAAAATAGAGAGTAATACTCGTGAAAAACACGAGTCGGTGGTGATTGAGGATGCAACATTAATGTCAAAGTTAAAGATAAACATTGGAGATATCGAGTGGCCTAAATTCTAATAATTTGTTGAAAAATCCATGGTTGAAAGATATATGATACACTAGAAAGCAGAATCATCATTTCCCCATGTGATAATTTAAGAAAGTAATGCTTTAGATTTTTCTTCCATTTGACTTATCGCTAATTCCGAATAATTTTCATGAGTAGTCATTCAATTTTGTGTTCATTACGCAAAAGTCATTTTTTTTTGTTACGTAAAAATCATTCAGCTTTTTGTTCATTACTCAAAAGTCATTTTTCTTTCTTTTGTTGCACAAAAATTATTTTACTTTTACTCTATTTATCACGAAAGTCACATTGGCTAGATATTATAATACTTTTACTTGAAAAGTCTATTATGCTCTTAACATTATAAATTCTCTCATTTATGTAATACCTTCCATATTATATACTACTCCCTCTGTTTCAATTTATCTGAACCTATTTTCTTTTTAGTCTGTGCCAAAAAGAATGACCTCTTTTCCTATTTGGAAAAAATTTACCTTTATGCAATGATTTATAACCACATAAAATATATATGCATCATTTTACACCATAAGTTTAAAAGTCTTCTCTCTTTTCTTAAACCTCGTGTCCAGTCAAATGGCTTCACATAAATTGAAACGGAGGGAATATATAATATAATTTTACCTAGGTATTTTACTTATAATTAAAATACTTTATATTATTTTATTTATTATTTTTATAATATATCCATACATTTAATTTTTTTTATGGCACTCAATTTGTTTAATCATACTCAAACATGAACATATTTTAAATATAAAAACAATAAAAATATTGGTATTTTAATATTTATTTGAAATAATAAAAATAGATTTGTTTAACAAATGATAGTTTTTTTTTATAGTTAATAAGAATTTTAGAATTTTTTTTTAAAGATATTTGTATTTAATATTAAGTTTTTTAAAACTTTATTTGTTAATATTATTTATTTGAAAGTATTAATCCTTGGCTAAATGTAAGCATTTTATTTATTGGATTAATGGGTATGACTTGGTTGATAAATGAATGAGCTTTGATTTTATAATTTTTATTAAAAATATTTTGCTAAGCATGGTTAAGAACGTGGGCTTGAAATTTGTTCATAATTATGTTACCGACAAATTTAATAATGCTACTTATATATCTTGAAAAGTAAAGTTAAGAAAAAATTAAATGTACGAATATATTATAAAAATAATAAATAAAATAATATAAAGTCATTTTAATCATAATTAAAATACTTGGGTAAAAGTATATTATAATATAGACGGTGTTGCATAAATGAGAGGATTTATAATGTCAACTGCATAATAGATTTTTTAGGTGAAAGGTTTGTAAAATTTGATCAAAATGACTATTGTGATAACTAGAACATAATAAAATTATTTTTGTTTAACAAAAGAAAGAAAAATGACTTTTGGGCAATAAACACAAAATTGAATGAATTTTACGTAATAAAAGAAAGAAAAATGACTTTTGGGTAATGAACACAAAGTTGAATAACTGCCCATGAAATTTACTTAGGTAATCCCTTCCTCTCCTTATTAGTATTACTTTAATTAAAATGCGGACTATGTGTCTGACACCAGTCTTTGTCTTCGTGCTTTCTTTGTCACTCTAGAAGAAAATGCAATCTATCCATTTTTGGGCTTCTAAATAATTAACACACGAAATGGGATCTACAGAATAAAATATAGGACCACCTAGTGATGCTAAACCGGAAATTGGGAGCTACACAAATCTGCACCAGCCAGATCGATGCAATGGACTAAATATAAATGTATACAACAACCAAACAATCATAATATCCAAATGGGTTGGTTAAAAAAATATATGTATAAATAACCAAAAAAAAGCATAAAAGAAAAGAAAATAAACACTAGGGACAGATAGTACCTCAGTATACAGTACAAGAATCAGCTTATTATTGGTGGAAGCCAAAGAGGCTAAGTGCTTGGTGGAATCAGTTCCCATTAAATAGGACCCAAAAATTAAAAAATAAAATGTTTGTATGGTAAAGGTTTTATACGGCTTAAATCTGGTTCCATATTCACATCAATCTGAGTTGCATGACCAAGATCGCAATTATGTTTCAAATGTATATTTCTCTATATTTAGTTGGAGCAAGTTGCATGGCGTGAAATTAATTTCCTTAAGTCAGCAGATATTGTATCGATTTTTACTGCTCCCACAAATGGTCATGTCCTATCTCCATATCTGCTATTATATTCAGAAGAAATCTTTGCCTAAGTAATCTGGAATCAAATTCCTAAGACTTACACAATTACTTGCTAACACAGATCAATAGTTGTTGCTAACTATTTGGCGTTGTTTCAGAGACCGGTCAACCGTAATCTAGAAATTGAAGTGTATGAGTTCCTACCGCAATTTTAAGTCAATATATTACAATAACCGAATTAAGGAACGAGTATCAATATCCAACATATATTTAGAAAATAACAAAACACTTAAAGACAACATATAAATATAAATATTATCATTACAATTGTACTCGACGACTTGTCATGTTTTAAAAACGATCAATGATCGCATCATTAGGTACACTTTCAAATACTTCATCCTCTATATAACAAACTAAACAATCATTAAAAAATTCATCACCAATTCTGCCTCGCAAGTCATTTTTAACGTGCTTCATCGAAGAAAAAGCTCTTTCTACCGTTGCAGTAGCGACATGTAATATCAGACTTAACTTCACAAGCAAATAAACAAGTCTCTAAGTATGTGCAAATTTATTTTAACCAATGTCTTTGAAAGATCTCCAAGTCTTTTCAAGTTAGAGAAATCATTGTCCGCCTCTCGCACATAGTCAATATAGATGTCAAGCTCAAAACTAAGATCCTCAAGCATAGAATCAGTGAACTCATTCGGGCAGTGTGTAGCAGGTTTCATAATCTTGTCTTTATCATAATTTGCAAAAGAATTATCTGGACTCAAACTAGCCATACCAAGAAGTAGATCAGTATTCACTTAATTGAAACAATTGTTAAGCTCCGAAAGTTGCAAATCAATAATAGCATAGAAAACCTCTACACGCAAATGATAAGAATATGTAACACTTGATTTCTTACGCTTTGACTTTCCACGAACATAATTCATATCCATTCCGGGGATCACAATACCATGCTTGACACAAAATAAATAGACGTCTTTTATCAAAGAATTCCATCTAGAATCTCTTATATCTTACAATTGTCTCTTTGCGAAACCAACAAGCTTCATTGCACTTACAATATCTTGTTCTTTTTTTTGCAAAGCCATACTTAAATCATATGTAAGTGCCAATACTTTCAACATTAAATGTAACATATACACAATGTCATAGAATCTTATGTCATCTACTAGACTTTTTGCCATTGATCTCTCATGATAATTTGAACCATCAATTGCAAGAACTCCAAATACATGAACAATTGATGAGAATAAACTAATAAAATTACGCACTGTCTTAAAATGAGAACCCCGCCGAGTATCACCTGCCCTTTGAAATCCAAGTTCTTGATTTAAACCGCTTCCTGTATGAACTTCACCAAGCACTAGTAGTTCCTCTAATTTTTCTGCTTGATCATCTCGAAGCATCTCCCTACGTATAAAAGAACCCCCAACAATATTTAAAACATTTGCAAGAATATCTAAAAATTATTCGGTCTCATAATATTTTTTTGCAACAGCTGCAAGAGTCAATTGCAATTGATGAGCAAAACAATATATGCAATATGCTGAAGGAGTATCATTCATAATCAAAGTTTTAAGACCATTAATTTCTCCCTGCATGTTACTAGCTCCATCATAACCTTGTCCCCGTATTTGAGATTTACTCAATGAATGTTCCAAAAGCAAAGAATAAATTGTTTCTTTTAATGATTTTGCAGATGTATCTTTAACATGAACAATGCTAAGAAATCGCTCAATAACTTTACCCTCTTTGTTGACATAACGTAAAATAAGCGCCATTTGTTTCTTATGGAGACATCCTTAAGACTCATCAACCAATATCCCAAAGTAATCCCCGTTCAAGTCTTCAATAATTGTTTTCAATGTTTCTTTTGCACTAGAGCTCACAATGTCTTTTTATATATTTGGACAAATCATAATATCATTTTTTTGGAGCATTTTCTAACACAACTTTCTTTACATCATCCTTCTTATTTGCATACCACTTTAAGAGATCCAAGAAGTTGCCTCTTCTTGTAGAAGTTTCACGTTCATCGTAAACCCGAAAAGATATTCCTTCTTTCAAAAGATACCTTGCAACATCAATTGAGGTATTCAGGCGAACCCGATACTCACTTTTAATTTTCTCAGATTACTTATCAAAAGATGTTAAAATAGATTGTGCTTGATTCGATAAATCTAGCATCATCTTGAAACACCGATTATGAACACTATTTACTTCACCCACATGTGCGTTAAACCTCTCTATACCTTTATTCCAAGCCTTAAAATCAACTTTTGTAAAAGAATCACTTACTTTTTTCCCATATCCTCCTATCTCATTTTTAAACAAATAACAACATAAGCAAAATGCTGCATCTTCTTTAATATTGTATTCTAACCATCCAGAATATAAAGTATTAAACCATTCCGGATTAAAATGACGCAATTTTTCACCAAAATGTATTTAAAAAAAATAAAATTGCGAGGCCGACAAGGCTCTTTTTGAATGTAATGTCTTCTCACTCGGTCACGTAGATTAGGAAAAAATTCTGAAATTTGTTTTCTTTCACCAGGATCAGGTTTAAGAAGATTCTGATCCAATATAATATCTTTGTGTGATGGTTGAGAAGAATTTACATTATCATTAATCACTGGACATGAAGAAGAGCTTAGCGAAAGAGAACTAGAAGTAGAACCTGAAGAGGTTTGCGGCTTGAAAAATCTCTTGATCATATCGAGTCTCACTAAAATACCCTACAAATCATAAGACACAAATTAAATATTACAGATGAATATAAGAGAAAAATATTTAAGAAATATTATTTTATATAATATAATATAAGAGAAAAATAGTTATAAAAAAAAAGATGAAGGAAGGAGAGGACCTACAATGGATCACTGCTTGTCTTTGATATGCAACAGAAGAAAAGTCATGATTGAAGAAGAATGAAGGTCGAAGAACCAGTGGCTTGCAAGATTGAAGAAGAACGAAACCCTAACTCTTTTTTTGTTTTGGGGACTTTTTGATGTGGTTGTTTCTTTTTAGGTTCACTTTAGTCATCTATTATTATTAAAAAAAAATAGACTAAAGTGGAAGTTGTGCTAACTTGACAGAAAGGGAGCAATATTTATCTGTTTGATGTTTTCCCATAGTGGAAGTACTGCTAAAAAACTTTGGTTTTTGTCTGTTTAATAAAAAGGACTTATAGGGACTCGAACTTGCATTAGCAAGAAGGGAAGCGGGCCACATCTGGGTTCCAAGATTTACCATTGGACCAGAAATGTATTTTGGAACTGGGTTCCCATATAATTATTGTTATATATTCAATAGATTTCTTAATACAAATATAGGATCTACACAAAAGCTATTGGGTTCCCGGGAACCCAAACATAATATTGTATGTCCGCCCCTGATCTTATCTTCTCTCTTCTCTCGAATTCCTAGTCTTATCTTTGGAATAGCGCAAGCATTGAATACCTAAATTATTATCAAAAAAGCTGCAGAAGACACTTCCATTTGAAGGTTAACATATCATACTCCATTTATCCTTTTATTTCTCTTTTGCATTTCAAATCTTTATTGTGTGTGTGTGTGTTCCACTTATACACTAGCACAAAGAAAGTGAAATGAGACTAATAGGTTGTTGGAGAGTAGTAGAGATTTGGATGTATTATATCTATTATCTTATTCACCAAAAATATACGTATAATATCTTAAGCGTCAAGAATGGCAATTAAGTTTTCACCAAGAAGGAAAGCAATATCTTTTTGTCTTGATTTGATCTAAATATATAGTCCTCTCCGACTGGCCACTATCACAATTATATTGCTCATGCTTGAGTGTCAAGTAGGCCACCATCAGCTGCATGATTTTGTAATATTCCACTCTGTCATCTACTACGAGGGGTACTTTCTTCTTGTTCCATTTTAGCTCAAGAATATATATGAGATATCTGTCTACGTCACCATCCTTTATGAACTTTAATTTGGTTTTGGTAAACAAGTTTGTAAAACAGATGAACATTTGCTGCCTTGCTAAAGCTTGCGCTCGATCAGGGGTGAAGTACTTTCAAAAAAAAAAAAATTCTTTTATAATGATGTGTCGGAGCTAGCTTGTGGGGTCCTTGATTATTTAAGTGAGTTAGGTTTACTTCAAGAAAATTTTGCACTTGTAGGATCCCCATTTTCGTAAAGAATACCCGAACGGGGGATTCACTAAAAATGCTCTTCATTAATTTCTGATTTGACACGCCATACTAATAGTTTAGAATGCGAACAATGATTTACAATAAAAAATAGTTCTGATTATATGGAATATATACCAAAGCAGGAGAAATATTATGGTCTTAAATTACATCAAGGTTCTTTATAATGTGAGAGATTCAAACCTAATGGTAATGTTAGGGAGAAAAAAATGATTCGGTTGCAAATCATATAAAAACGTCGTGCCAAAGGCCATATATCCTCTAATAAGATTAAAAATAAAAAACGCACCAAACTATGTACAAATTTAAATGTACTTAATAATTTACAATAATGTTTACTTTATACCGAAGTATCGTCTCTCTTTATCTTTCCGATATACCAAGCAATCCTATCTATAATGTCAATTGTCGTGGTCAATTATATAAAATTATGTTTGAAACTTGTCTTTAGAAATAATTGTTTTTTACTTGATCATCTAGTCAATATGAGTAGAGTGGTTGACAAGATATGTCAGTTGACCCTAGAATGAGCTGTACAAAGTGTCTTTTGATTAGAAATCTGAGTTTAAGAAGATGGATAATAACATATTTTGCTATACTACAAGCGTAAGTTTTGGAAGCACGTTAGTGATTTGTATCCAAAAGATTCTTGATGTTTTGCAATTTCTAGAAACAATTGACTTGCCGTCGTTATTTTCCCTGCTCGATATGTATAGAATATGTTCAATGGCCTAGGCAAATATAGAAATATAGTCAAGAGAGCATTCAAGCGTGTCTATTTTATACTATGTTTTTTGCTCTAGTCTTTCCTTTGATAAGAAATCTATATATTACGCGTGCATTCTCACACGACACGTCTTGTTTAATTAAAATTTTAAAATCTTACAACTCAATCTTCATTCAATTTATTTGAGCATGAAGAGACATATTGATTTAATATCCATCACATCTTGTTTAGTCACAACTTTGACTGCATTTAAAGAGCAATCAATCAGTTTGGAGAAGTTAATAGGTAAGTTCATGGATAATTCTGATCATCCATGCAGAAAAACTAAAACGAAACTGGTTTTACCTGTTCCCTTCAAGGTTTTCTTGGTTGGGTTATGAAAATCGAGTTGATCAAGTAACCGTACCATATAAATACTTTCTTTGGTAACGTGATCAAAGCATTTTGTGATATTAGATAACCAACAAATATACATATGTGTAATGATTCGACTCATTTTGAAATCTAGCATTTCGATCTGTGATTTGAGATCTTGAGTAGTTTCATATGATGTATTATGACTTGCGAGCATAGTTGATTTTGATTTTCGAGAGGTTCGAGAGTGATTTGGAAGAATAATTCTTAATATGGAAGCTTAAAGTTGGAAGAATTGACTAAGGTTTGGCTTTTATGTAAACGACTCCATATTGGTGATTTGAAGATTCCAATAAGTTCGTATGATAACTTTTAACTTGTACATATATTTGGTTCGAGTCTCGGGTGTCGGGGATTGATTCAATGCTTCTAGTCGAAAGTTGGAATTTAGAATTTATAAAAGTTTGAAGATTTTTTATTGATGTTCAATTCTTGAATTTGACATTGTTATTCATGTTTTGAGACTTTGACAAGTTCGAATAAAATATATGGACTTGTTAGGATGATTGGACGGGAATCTGAAGGGCTTGGATAGGTTTCGGGGTGATTTCGGATCATTTTGATCTAAGTTCAAATGGCTGGTTCTTTTGGTGTCTGGTGTTCATTGCGTTCGCGGGAGGAGGCTCGCGTTCGCAATGAAGAGGAATGTTCTAGAGATTTGGCCATCGCGTTCGCGTAGGGTGGACCACATTCGCGAATGAGGCTAGTTCTTTAGCCTTCGCGTTCACGATAAAGGCTGGTCGTTGCCTTTGTGTTCAAGAGGCCCCTGTCGTGTTCGCAAAGAAGGATTCGTCATATGGTGGAGGCTTGTACTTCGTGAACACGAGATGGTGACCGCGTTCGCAAAGAGTAATTATTGGTAGGAGGTATATTTTGTCTTGAATTTCTGTCAAGATCCAAAATCACGTAACCGACATCCGGCACACTACCCAATTCGAGCGAACCAAACCATATGATGTACCCAAACTATTTATATGAAAACAAATTTAACTGCAGAATCTCTTTGAAAATTTTATATATTTTCCAATTCAAAATTATATATAAAGCCTTTCATCATAATCATGAGACCAAACACAATAAATGTCTTTTCATATATGTCATATACCATCCCGCTATTACAACTCGTCATAACTATCTATGGAGTCTCTATACCAAAGAATAGAATTAAACACTTAGGCTAATGCATGACTAACATAAATTAAGAAAATAACATGATAGCTATCAGAAAATAGGAGTGGTGCCTCACCATATATTTTGGAAAGAGAGTCATCCTAGACCTATTAGCATGCCACGATTATACCTCATCCTGAAACATGTAAAGTAAGTGGGGCCTTGAAGGGACCCCCCTAAGGGCTGAGTACACCACTGCGGTACTCAATAAGTATCATAGACTCTCACTAACTCAAGTTCATGGGACAAGATTTTACAAAAAACCATGCAACCAATATTTGACATAAAGTGATAAACAGTTATATGAATCATGCTCTTTATCATTTTGAATAAAAGACAAGTGAATTGTAAGACGTGCAATTAAGTTTTACAATGTCTCTATCAACCCAAGATTTTTATAGAATCATATAAAACCATTTCAATCTCATTAAGTCACTGAAATCAGTTTTGGCTCCTTAGGCCTAAACATAAGAAAGTTCTCTTTTACCTTTCACAAGGAGTACAATACCCACACTAACATAATGAACAATACCTCGGCCGATCGTTTTACTTTTTAGAACTCTGTCCCCCTAAATAAGACTTTCCGTACGTGCTTTTACTGTTTTATGACTTGCGAAGATGGTCGGTTCGGGATTTGAAAGGGTTCGGGTTGAAATCGGAACACTTGGTTCCTTAAGGTTAGCTTAAAAGGCCAAGTTTGACTTCGGTCAATATTTTGAGTAAACGACCTCGGAATCAGAATTTAATAGTTCCAATAGGTTCGTATGATGATTTCGGACTTGAGCGTATATTCGGATAGGGTTTTGGGTGACCCAGGAGAGTTTCAGCGCCTAATAGTGAAAGTTAGTTTTTGAAGGTTTTAAAAGTTCTTTAAATTTGGTTTGGAGAGGTTTTTGGAGTTATCGAGGTCCAAACAAAATTCCGAGATCGGAAATAGCTCCGTAATGTCATTTAAGACTTGCACGCAAAATTTGGTGTCAAACTGAGTAGTCTAAGTACGTTTTGGCGCATTTTGAGTGAATAGAAGAACTTGAAGTTCATAAGTTTCATTCAATTGCCTTTGGGATGTGATTCTTAGTTTTAATATTGTTTCGGGCATTCCGAGAGTTCGAGAGAGTCCGTTTTATAATTCTAAACTTATTGGTATGTTCGGACGAGGCCCCGGGGATCCCGAGTGTCGCTCGGATGAGGTTCGGACCAAGTTGGGAGCATGGAGCCACAACTGAAGCTCCTAGATCTGTCATAATTGCACCTGCGCTTGTCCAACCGCAGGTGCAAGCCACGAGCCGTAGAAGCAAGAGATCAAGGGCAGCCCACGGACTGTAGATGTAGAAGATTGGGCGCACCTGCGCGACCGCAGGTGCGAGAGCCTTGGTCGCAGGTGCGACTAGGCCCGCGCAAGCGGCCCCTTCTGTCCGCAGATGCGGAGATTGGCTAGGTGGGGGAAAAGCGCACCTGCGAGGCATTTGCCGCAGGTGTGAGACCGTAGATGCGTCCAAGGCACCACATGTGTGAAAGTCGCTGGGCAGTGAGGGTTCATTTAATACGGACTTAGGCCATTTTTATCACATTTTCTCTCACTCTTGGGCGATTTGA